CTTCAGACCTTAATTTCTGCAACACTGTATGTTGTTTTATACATATTAACCAATTATAAATTTTCTGTATCCTCCCATGTCCATTGTTATATGTGGGGCTGAAAATGCATCTTTAGATTTTCCTTTCCCATGACATCAGCACACATTCAATTCTATTGTGAATGTCCAACACTCGGCACCATACAATATTATTGGTCTTATTTCCATATTATTCACTTGGACCTTGAAGTATCTATGTATATTTCTCTTTCTTAATGTATATCTTAGAGCTCTGAAACACCTATTGATTGAGGTCTTACTTGCTTTTATTTCCGCTTCTGTATTGTTATTGGAAGAAATGAATGATCCCAAATATTTGACTACCTCTACCCTTTCATCTTTTATCTTTATCTATTTGAAAGTTTGAAGGGGGTTCATTCTTTTCCAAATAATCATATACTTACTTTTAATACAGTTAATTGGAAGACTGATTACAGTAGCTGCAGTTATTAATTCTTCTACACTTTCTTTGAGGAATTCCTGTGTTAATGTAAACTTCATTCATCCCATAACTCTTGTTAACATGTTCCATGGTCACTAGTTGATTGTTGGTTGTCTTAAAATATTGATCAATGTTCACACACTATTGCATTGTGTTACCCAAAGTGTCATGTAAAAAGGTTTTCCTGAACTTGTCTTAAAATAATTTAATTTTTTCTAGGATAACCCTTTAGGTGATTTAATGGATTTTTTGTATGAAGCTATAATTTTGAAAGATTTTGAAGAGTGCTTGCTGAGAATGAAATCATTCAAAGCAGCTTTGTTGAATCTTAAAAACAATGTAAGTTAATTAAGTAAAAATTAATTTCTTTTCTTTTTCATTTCATTAATTTTCTTTTCTTCTTAGTGCATTTAGTTTTTGTCTTGTATTATTATTTTGTGATATTTCTGTTTTTGTGTTGTTAGTAAACACTATTGATCTCACTTTAAAAAAAATTGTACCTTGCTTGACAATAACAATTGCGTTTCAATCCGTTACTTACTTTTTTTTTTTTCTGAAATGCATACATATAAGAAAACACCTGCATATTTTGATTTAATCATATCATTGAATTTGTTTTTCACTATGAACAGGAAATGATGTTCATTTTTTATACTAAAATATGTGCACCACATTAATTCTTGTGCCCCTTGCTTTAATTTGCTTGAGAGGAAGTTACATCTCATACTGTTCCAAAAATATTTCATGGGTGTACATGCAGTGTTCTGCACTGTATATTTGTATATTTTGCTTTTAGGAATATGTAATTGAAAATCAAGTATGAACTTTTAAAGCTCATTTTTTAAACTGGAAGTTTTCTTTTGAGTTGCTTAAAAATACAACAAAATAACCAGAGAATTTTTTAGACTCCATTTCTCCATTTTTTAAAGCATTTCTTCACCCATGCTATGATTAGGAGAATATTTGAGTGAAATGCTTTGATTCTAATCATATTTCCTGCTTAGCATAACGTTTGGGCTCGCAGTGTAGGCGAGTCCAGGTAAAACAGGGCCTATTTTTAGAGGATATTATTATTATTATTATTTAAGATTCTAACACTACTTGTATCTGCTATACAGTTTCATAAAGATAGGCCGATAAAAGTTTTGCATTCGAGCCTGCACTCCTTTCATTACACTACTGATTTAACTTAGTGCAAATTAAAGAAATTTCATCCTGCATACAAAGCTTTTATTCATTTTTTATTTTATTTTATTTATTTATTTATTTACGCCTATCGGCTTTATCCATATATGTTATAATACAATTTGCAGTATTAATATATTAATTATTTGCACACTGAATGAATGCAGTAATCTGCAGAAGTACAATACTTTATCTATCAAATTTAATGTTTTTCACCTTTGATAAAAATGTAGATGTAAAACCTCCAAAAAAATTGATTTTGAACAGTACTTATTTACCAGGCTAACTATCCTGTTTTAGGCTTTAAATTTTATAAAAACATAAGATCCGAATTTTCTCTCCGGTTTATTCAGTCTGTCGATATTGAAAATCATCGAAGGGACGTTCTTGACGCTTATATTATATCTCCCCCTATGTTCTACATGCGAATATGGTGATGTATTTGTAGAATCTTTTCTGTATTTTACCACTTTATCAATAAGGAGATTTGTATATGGTGACCAAACAACTGTGCAGTATTCAAGTCTTGAACGGACCAATGTCGAATGTAATTGAATAAGTGTGCGCACATTGTTAAATTCTCTACCCGACCTAAGTATAAATCCGAGTATTTATGTCTTACATATATTGCTAAAATTATAAGGGATTTGTATAAAATATAATAAAATATGTTTTATACTACAAAGACATTTTAATTGTGAAAGTGCTGCAGTTGTAACTTAATATTTAATTATTATCAATTTTTATTTTAGGATTTAAATCAATCTTTAGATTTTATTGGTAATGGCCTATGGTTAGGTCGTGTGGCTGTGCAACTCACCAAGGCAGCTGTGTCTTTTGCCTTGACATCTCTACAGTTTGTTTTGGAATTTTTAGCTGTGATGCGTGAAGGAAATTTTTTAGATCATCTTCCAGGTAACTGTTTTATATAAGGTGGTAATGAAGATATTCTTGATAGAGGGTTTCTTAACTAAACTCTTCCTTGTAAATCCTAATTTTGGGGTAAATATACTTAAACTATTCATGTGCAGAGGTGTATTTTGTGAATGATTTTGTGAAATTTATAGAAATGAAAGTGAAAGTGCTCTTCTTATTCATTGTATCTTCTATTGTTTTAGAACCTCTTCCTGACTTTGAACTTGTGGAACAAGTGTTGAAATGTCTGTCTCTCACTGGTGTTTTTCCTAATATGGCTGCATTGCTAAATCCCGCTAAAAGTTTGGAACATCAGAATGAAGTCAATCGTTGCTTACAGGAGCTTTCTCAAAGCAAACAGTTTTCTTGTGCTTTGCAATTAGCATCAGCAAGTGGCTTATGTCGAGACCCAGTGTTGGTAGCACAGGTTAGATTTTTCGAGCATTTTTCTTGACATTTATTTTTTGTGAAAATTTAAATGAAAAATTAAGACAAATTAATTTTTTTAGTGGAGTGATAAATTTGAACAATCCGCTAAGCGACCTTTGGGAAGAAGTTTTTTGGGATTTTGGAAGAAATGTGATGACACATTTCATTCTGAAAAAGTATATCCACATACTGCTGCTAAATTCTTTCAATTCCATGCGGAGAAATTGACAGATCTGGAAGAAAAGTTTCATGTACTGCAGTTGGCTGTTAGTTGGCTGCAGGAAGCTCTACTTAAAGTTACAGATTTCTGTCCTGTTGATTTCAAAAAAGAAATGGCATCAGTGGAGCTCAATATGTGGAATTGCTGGCTGCAAGCATCTTATGAACTTCCAGTAAGAATTTTTAAAATTTTACCTCAATGCAATGTTACAACTCACATCTTTTTCTATACATGTTGGTGAAAATATATTTTGTCTGGCTCTGACTAAATGTTTTTCATTTTTGCTTTCTAAAAGAATGTGAAATGAAGGTACAACTTCTTATAAATTAATAATTGTAAAATGTATTTTATATTTCAGTTGGGTACAGAAAATACAAATCCAGAGATGTTGTACTCCACAAAGAATGTAATTTTAGAACAAGCAGGAGTTACTGATATGATTATCTCTCCTGAAATATCTAATGAAGAGAAGCAAAAAGTGCATGTACTATTGGGAAAATTACTTGATTTGGGTAGTATGGTTTCTGCTTGTCGTGTGGAAGCAATGTATGGTGTTAAGCATCAAGTGAGTAATATTGATCAGCTTAAAACTCTTTATTAAAAAAAGTACCATCATTGTTGACTTTTACAAATAATGTAGAGAATGAGTTGTAAATAACATGGTATTTTGTAGGATTTGAATATTTTATTGTTATGTCTTGGACTGGCAGAAGGTACTGTATCTCCTTACGAATTGACTTCAGAACAACGTTTATTGTTTTCTGAAGTGTCAACTACTCGTACACTCAGCCACAGACGGAGAGCTCTTATGTCATCAATTTCAACATGTAAGAATTTTTCCATTCATAGGTTTAGAACAAAAATATTATTACAAATTGTAGCAACTTTATTAACTTACTACATGAATTGTTTCAACATTCTTTGTTGAAAAGCAAGCCTTCAGTGTGTTGTCAAGGCCAAAAGTCAATTGATTATTTTTATCATAAAAAACTTAACAACAAACAACTCTGACTTTTTACCCAGATATTAAATAATTGCAAACCATTTTCATTTTCAGTGTCACACAGTCCTGGCACTAACAGTTTATTGGTGGACTATGTTGAAATTCCCCCAAGAGATCGCCAAGACACTTTGACAGCTTTAGAGAAACTAACAGGTCGTTTAGAACATGGTACTGCTATTGGTAATCGTGTTGTAATGTGCTATCGTGTGGCAATGAATTTAGATTTGAACTATCTAGTAAGTATAGTGCCAATTTTTTGTCCTATATATGTTCTGCATTTTAAAAATTCTATTTACTTCTTTAAGGAAGTACTGGTGATGCGTGAGCCGCTCAACTTACTGAAGACTGCTTTAGCAGATGATTGTCTAAATAAATTCATAGTTGCAAGTGACATTATTACTGCAGCACAGATAAATAGCACAGAAGTTGCTGAATTTATGGCTCGAGAAATTCTTGAAGCTGTGACAAAAAGCAAATTAAAAGGTCAGATTCATTTTAATTTTTAAAAATAAGGATGGAGAGAGAAAATTTGTAACAAACATTATCTATTGCAGGTGAAGTCTCTGGTACAACAATGTGGGGCATAGAACTTGAATCATGCTTTCATCTTGTGTTGGATGTCTGTAGAGATCAAGCTTCTTTGGGAAACAAGCTTTTGAGTCTTGCCTCTCTGGTTACTACAAGTAGAGCGTATGCATTCCATGATGGTAAGAAGTTCAGAACAATAATGGTGTTCTGTTTCCTTTTTTCTTTCTCTTTTAAAATTTGAATTTCACAATTTACTGTGTTATCTTTTCTTATTAACTATTATGATTTCATATTGTTGGAAAATTTCATTTAAGATTCAGTAATAAAAAAATATATTTGCAAATGAAAGTGCCATGCCATCATTTACAACTACCACAACTCAAAAGAAAAAACTTTTCAAGAGAGACAATTAAAGATTTTTAATCTTATTATTACTTCCTCAGACTCACAATATTTTAAAGACTGGGCCATGAAAGATTGAAGTCAACTTTGTGATAACAAATTCACCCCCACACATTGTAATTCACAAAAAAATTATGTTATGTTAGTATTCCTGAAAATAAAGTTTTGTGTTTTTCCCAAGTAGGATGTTGCATTATGCATGTCATTGACCTGGTTAATATCAATCTGTTTTTGTTATCAATGTCAAAGACAAGTTTTACATCACCGGCCGTGGATTTCCCTTACATTTTCCCAGTCTTAGGAACTTTGTCACTTGGCACTTGACACTGGAAGGAGATAATTTTAAGGAAAGAATAAGGAGTAGTTAAATTCAAATCATGGAAATCAAAGTGAAAAATACAAGATAAATAACACAATCACACTTAATTTTTTCTCTTTGTTTTGGGAACGAAATCCAAACTTCCAACATGAAATGCATGTTATATAAACATTCAATCTTATAGATAACATTTATTTGTTACTTATTTAAAGAAAGATTTAAAAGGATTTCTTGTTTCTACTGGTCCCTTTAGAACCATAAAATTATGCGATAAACAGTGCATGTCAGTTGTATGAAAAAATAATGCCTATATTCCAGCAAATTATTAAAATGATTGTAATACAAATTAAATATCTGATATAACACTAAAGAATATGTTTTAACTCTGAATATTATGATAATTTTGAAGTGAGCAGAATGAAGATTATTACATTTTGAAATGTGATAGTCTTTTTCTCAAGTGTATTGACAAATGACAAAGAAACACAAGATATTGGGTAGGTGCACTCTGAAACATTGTTCAAACTCTCGAAAACTCCATCAAATGAGCTTTTTAAGTTGTTGAGTAAGCGGGAAAATGGCAATTTTTGATTCGTGGTAGTCATCCTCTTCCATGAGGTGCAATTTAAGAGCACTATAATTAATAATTCTACTTTTTTAGTAAAATAGGCTGAAATATATTCCTAATTTTTGAAGTATTTGTAAAGACATTTTTGTATAAATTTTTGTGATTCTCAAGAAATCTGTGGACAGATAGTTATGTTAATTGGATAATTTCAATAATTATTTATGAACCTTGTATTCTTATAGGTAGTAAAGTAGTTTGTGTATATGTAAAATGAGAGAGAAAGTAGGATTTGGATTTACATAAATCAAAATGTTGCTCTATTTTCTTACAGCTCATGTGATTGCAGTAGAACTTGTTATTCATGCCCACAACTGCTTTGTTGCTGCACTGAATATGGAAGGTATTGGTTCTGTGCTTCAGATGTGTCAGACTATTACAACTAGACTTCTAAAGAAAGAAGAATGGGGTTTAATGGTAATGTACTCGTGAGAAACATTAGGAGGTTTAGATTAGAAATGATACCAATTTTTGTAGACATTCAAATGTTTTTTACAAAACTGTCTGAGAAGCAAATAAATGTTAGTGATATTTCAGGTCCGTCTACTGACTGGTGTGGAAAGATATACAGAAATGAGTTATATTTTTAAAATTCTGTATGATCATGAACAGTTTGAATTTCTTCTTGCAAAAGGATTGGACAAGGTTATTTAATTAAATTACCTATTTGTGTTGACAGACAATTTTTTGTATGATTTGGTTTCTTTGAATTTTCTTCTTCTATTTCCAAATTGTTTTTAGGTGAAAGGGCTTAAAGTGGCAGTTATAGATTTTCTGAAAAAGCGTTGCCCTGGAGATAGGAAACTCTATGAAATGGTCACTTTACGGTTTGGTATGTTTGAAGAAGTGGCTGTTCTTTGGGAGAGTGATGGATTAGCTGAGGAGGAAGCAGTATTAAAGTTAATTTTGAAAGATCAAAATGGTACTAGTTATTCTCTTCTTCCGCATAATGAGGTAGTGAAGAGACATCTAATGAATGCTATGGAGTGCTTCAAACATGCAGCAGAATTTTTCATCAAGGTGGGTCCATTGTAATCCAGGAATATTATTTATTATTTTGATACATAATTTTTATTACATTTGTAAATTATTATTTTGATAGAATTGATTTTCTTAACTTGCATAAAATTCATGAGTATGGAATGGAATTGCAGACTTTTTATTATTTGTTTTCATTACATTTGTGAATTGTTATTTTCATAGTGTTGCTCTTCTTAACATGTATAAACTTCAATAGTGTGGCACAGAATTACAACAAATAGATTACAGATTAGAAGAAAAATGCATCATACCAGGGGTGTCCAGAGGTTTGGTCAGATGGGATAACTTGTCCCAAGCCCCATTTAAGTGAGGCCCCAAAAATTAATTCAAATTGTATATCCTTCAATACATTTTTTGAATAACTGTTGTTGATTCACTTTAAAATAAATTAATAATTAAAGATGTTAAATAAGGGGAAATATGGTGCCCCCATGGTTTTACTGCCCCAAGCCCCTTGTTTACTCTGGGTGTCCCTGATGGTCTCATAACATTTTATGTATAATCACTCGTGATTGATTGAAGCATTGGTGACACATCAAATTAATGAAGTACATTGCTATATTATATTACAGTGAGATAAATACTTTATAATGTGTGATTAATGAGAAATAGTACTGATGTTGTCTTTGACAGTACTAACTGACTAAATTAATGTTAAATATTAATAATTAGAGACATACTATTACTGATAACTAGTTACAGCTAATACATTACATATAATAAGTATTACTGTATTATAATTGATCACAGTTGACTATAATACTACCACAATTGAGAGAAAAACAGAAAGTGCAGAATTATAATGTACTTACAACAGTGTAATTACAATAATATGTTCTGTTAAATATTTAATTTACATCACATAAATTATGCAATTATGAAAAATATTTACTGCATTGAATCACAGGAATATTAAATGGTATGTTTGGCATCCTAATGACATGCTGCAAGTTTTTGCTTCTTTTCCTTGTTATTACAAAGTACTAACTGACGGTTTTACTTTTTGTTTCTACTGAATGATACTCATTTACAGAGTAGTAGTAGTAGTAGTAATAATAATAATAATAATAATAATAATAATAATAATAATAATAATAATAATAATAACAACAACACACACAAACAGTTAGTTATAAAATCTTACTTACCAGAGAATGAATTACAAGTTAAAATAAAAAACAGTAAATGGTAAAAATTGTTTATATTAAGAAAATGAATAGTCAAGTAAAACAATAATATTAAAAGAATAAACTATAAACCGACAGCTGAGAAACTCACCTGGAAAATAGTTAAAATTAGCACATCTTAAATTTATATATGGTATAAAATAAATGTGCATGTGGGGGTGTGGGCACGTGCATTTTCATGCTTTTGTGTATGGGTGGGAGTGCATGCATGCATCTCGGTGCATGTGGACTTGTGTGTGTAAATACATGTTTTGCATTTTTAACCACATTAAATTCCGTTTCCTATTCAATAACCATTGAGATTAGAGCTGGAACATAAATGTATCTGTTAAAAGCATGTAATAAATACAATTATTTTAAGCTCTTATTACATTAAAAGCAATATTAATGCTTAATTCAACTACTATAAAGATTGTCTTTCTGTAAGGTTTCTTTTTAAAAAGTGTATACAAGCTTATCAATGGAGAATCAATTTGCACATTTAGTGTCAAAATGAGAATTATAATTTGTATGTTTGGTAAAAATTATTAAACATGAACTAAATTTAGAGAATTGAGAATAAACTCTTTACTCAATTATTTTAGGGAGAATTGTTGATACGTGCAACTCATTTGGTACATCATGCTGAATTGGTGGCATTACAACGCTATTTTATAAGCACAGTGTCTCCTGGGCAAGGTGCCCCATTGCTATTACGTTTGAGTTCAGAGGAAGTTGCAAATCTGGTGACACATGTTCTTACGTAAGTAATTGAATATCGTCCCTTTATATTGAATTATTTTATTTAGTGTGTATTATTTATGAATTAAAATAATTCAGTTCTTATACAAACTATTGATCTGAAATTGGTAACAACTCATGAATTCATAGAAAGCTTAATTTCTTTTCTTTGTACAAGAATTTGTAATTCATCAACAACAAAAAAATGTATTGGGGGGAATGGAATAATATTAACCAGTTGTACTACAAAATGGCTCAGACTTTCTTGTACTAGTTAAATTTCTAACTTCTTTGTCCTGGGCTAGCTTTTCAGTCTTGTCCCAACCTCTTGAAACCTGCCATCTATCGCTGCCGAAAGTAATTTTTTTTTTCAATTTTACCGTTTCCTAATGGTAGAACTGAAATATTACTTTAAGAATATTGTAGAAGAGGAAAATCTTGTCTTATATGGAAATTTTTGATGAAAATTTGGAGCTGTTTTAAAAAACACATACTTTCAGCATTATTGTAAATGCAAAATATGGAGCTCCTTTTCACAAAAACCTTTGGGTTTTGAGAAACTTCATTGGGAATCATTTAAAACACTTCCACTCACAAATGCAATAATGTATACAAATTGCTGGAAATGTTACTAGTGTAACAACATGAGAGATATTTCAAAGAAAATACGTTTGCGAAAATTTGTGGAAAAACAAATGAATTCAGCAAAATGGCTATTTTGTCATCTTACACAGTGCATTTAGCACTATCGGAACAAAAAGTTTGAAGAATAATTGGGACCTTTTTGAAAAAATGGTGTTAAAGCATTTCTGAAAATGCAGGATTATGAGCTCATTTTCACAGAAAACTTTGGAGACTTCAAGAAACTTTATAAGACATCATTTAAAGTGCATAATGTATACAAATCAACAGTAATGTAAATGTTAATGTTGTGAGAGAATCACAAAACAATTACAAATGTGTAATTATTTAAAAAACAAGCGTACAGAGCAAAATGACATTTAAAGTAAAGCAAAATGACCAAAAGTTTAAAGCAAAAATTTGGAGCAGGTTTTGAGAAATTTTTGTTTTTGATATTTTTTAATATTGCAAATATTTTAATTTATATTGTTTGAAACCTACTAAAATTTTCAAAAAATGCTCATAATATGAATGAAGTAATTAAAGAGAACAAATATCATTTTAAAGGAAAATGCTTTATCTTCAATTTTGTAGTTGTAGGAAGATGTCAAAAAACATTTCAAACTTTTGCAATCTTTAAAAATCTTCAAAAACGTATGCCACAATTCTGTGTATTTTACTACATTCTTATAAGAACTTAAAAAAAAAAAAAATGGAGCCATTTTTGAGAAAAATTTGGAAATGTCCTATGAGCTTCATGTGCCCCTAAAAAAAAAAAATAGTGGGACAGACAGACATTTTTAAATCAAACAACAACACTGTTTCAGTATCAGAGGATCCCAAAATGTGTATACCTAATGTATAGGAGAAAGTAGAAATTCTGTATTAATATTGTGAGATAACTTTTGACTATAAGAAACACATAAGAATAAGAATAATGTTTAATTCTGAATCCCAGTAACTCAAAAGAGGTTTTTGAATTTGAGATTTAGGAAGAATTCTATTTTAAATGACCTTTTTTTGTGTATTGCTTTTTGTTATAGATTTCCCCAGGGTTATTTAGTGGTCAGAGCTTATGATCATCCTGTAGACTGGGCTGCAGCCCTTTATCATCATTGTGTTTTAAAAGGGGATGAATCTTACTTTACTGCCTTTACAACAAGTATTCCTTTGAATTCATCAATGGTGGAAGATGTTGTTAGAAGGTAAATAATCATGGTATAACATGCAAAGTTGTCCTTGGTTGTAATGTATTTAATTAATATGATTAATTTTAATGTGGTCGTTCACTGTAGTAAAGCATTGTATTCATGTATATGAATACATAAAGTATGATATGAATTATACAAACTACATTTATATGATGTAATGCCAAGTATGACAATTTATTTACAGTATAAGTTTTGCCAATTTTTGGAGAAGATAGAAAGAAGAATACAATATATTTTTTATTGTATCTATAGATTATTTTAGATTATTAATATAACATATTCTATAGTGATTTACTATGACATTAGAAATATAAACTGAGTTTTGTATGCAAACTTGTGCCGAAGACCCAAAATGAAATTATTTATACGTATAATTTCTATTTTGTGGCATACAATGTTTGTGTGTGGGTTCTGAAAAGATTGGGATCGTTATAAGTTCAGATGTACAGCCCTCCTAGTTATTTTACCTTTATGCTTGGTTTACCAAGAGATACCTTTATACACAGTGGCATATCCAAAAGAAGCTCTTGGGGGGGGGGGGGCGGCTTCAGACTGGGCCCTGGGGGTTCTTCAGACCCTCTAGGAGCCAATGACACTTACAATACTAAAAGCTAAAAAAAGACATACTGGAAGAATTAAAAAATTAAAATCAATAAGCTAAGCAATTGCTGTTAAATGTAATGTTTAAAATTATCATATCAATGATACAATTTTTAAGTCTAAAATTGAATAATTACTAGAATTTTGAATGGAAATTAATGATCCTTTTTTTAAATTTTTTCACTTCTTTCTGTATGTCTTGTTATGATAAATTTCAAAATTTTTCTCGCATTTTTAGTGAATAATAACATGCCATTTCTAGGTTTCAGGTGCTTAGAAATATTACAGCAGATAATGCCCGAATGATGAAAATGTTTATTGAACAAGTGGACTCATTGGAACTGAAATACCGCCTCGCAAGTCAACTAGGTTTCCGAGATCTGATAGAAAGTTTATTAAATGGTCCAGAAGATGATGTTGCTTATTTAAAAGATACTGTGTGGCAGCATGGGTTCCGCTCTTAAGGGTTCAAAATAATTTACAAGTTTTGTCAAGGTATTAATGTTTGAATCAAATAAGATAGACAAGTTAAGAATTAGGTTTTGAAAGGCTTGATGTCTTTACTCAGGTGTTCATAAGTTACAGAGCTGGTTTAAAGAATCACAGATCCCACCATAAGCCCAATAGTTGTAGTTGACATTGTTTTATAAGAAATAAAATCATAAAAACAATCACCACCACCAATATCATAATCATCATCATTTATGATGAAAACTGAACTTTTGTTGAATGTTACACTTGAAAACACCACTATGTACTTACTTTTACAACAGATTTTCAGGACATAAAAATATATATTCAGAATTAAGGAGAAAAAACGCATGCACATTTGCTGCTTGCCAAATTGCTAACAAAATGTTTATAATATTCCTGAAAGTACTGAAACTGTCAGTTTCATGCTGCTATTTGTATGTACAATCATAGCCTTATTTCTCATATGATCATGGCTGAAACTCTTTGTATACTTTTCATGAAATCTATTATTATACACACAGTTCATAACAAAAGCAGCTGCCACTGACCAAAACACTACAATGATTAAAAATTGTTTTGTAGTCCTGCTAGTCAACTGTTTCCATAAATACTTGTTTATTATGAAAAATGTCAAATGATAAACAAAAAAAGGTTTTTGTATATTTTATATGTTTCAAGAATTTGTAATTTTATAATGTTGAAATCTCAAAAGTAGTTTGTGGTGGCATAGATTTCTGAACCTTTAAATCAGCCCTTGTCATCTTACTGAAATTTGTACAAAAACTCTTGTGCTTTTCACCAAGATATGCATTGATATTTAGCTTTACAATGAAGCTTTTGAGTTTTGCAGTGCCTGATTTGAATGCTCTGTACAAGTTCTCATGTCGGTGTTAAAGCAAGTCATACTTCTGTGATAATGCAATATTATATAATTTATATATGTACATATTGATACATTTTGTGTAATATTTGTAATATAAAATATATTTTTAAGTAATATTTTTATTGCTGAATGCTTTCGAGCGAGAATAATAATAGCTCAGCAGACATAAATTATAATTGAAATTGTGGCCATATAAACAGGAGGGTCCAATTTATTGTTTAATAAAATGACAATACAGTTATTGGTCTTCCTAAGACTTTTTTGGAGTTGATTTCATATGTAATGCTGATCTTTGCCAAAGAATATATATATTATTTATTTTGACTGATGTCTTTTTATGACAAATTAATTCTTTTTAATACAGGTCTATTGCCTTTTGTGTGTCTTTATTACAAAAATATTTGTAAGAGGCTGTGTTTTGAAAATGAAATAACATTACCAAATTAATTATCTAAAGTTAACAGTTTATTAAGAGTTCATCATATAATTGTGACAATATGCCAACAATCTGGAATAAACAAACTTGATTTATAATTTCAAAAGGTGTCACAGAAGTTGTGTATGGGTGGAATAAGAAATGAGATGTTTTGATCATAGTCACTGTGTTGTTTTCAAAGAATAATCATAAACATGACTGATTTGTTTCAAACTTTATCCGACTATTTCATCTTTTGCAATTTTAGCGTGTATTGTGATGAGAACAAGAGAAATTTGAAAATTATCGTTGTCCTTATCATGGTCTCCTTGAACAGCAGGATGTTAGGTCTATCACCTGTTTTTGTTTGCACAGTAGACTTGATGGTATATACCTCCTTGAGTCTTTCAGTGTCTCTTTGTTCAGAGGGATTTTAATATAATGCTAGCTTTGTAAGTCTTTCATTCTTCATTCTCTTAATGCATTCTACCCATTTATTTTGTTGTCTTTTATTCATTCTACAATATTTTTTTTGTTTTAAGTCTTTTTCTAATAAGTGTTCTTTTGTTGATCCACTACTTCAGAAATATATTGAAGTCTCAATTGTATTGCTTCCAATTTTTGTTGATCTTTGCATTTTTGAGTCCAGATTTTTGGCCCAAAAAGCAGCATAGGTTTGAATGTCATATTGTGTATTTGCAATGTTTTCCCAGAGTCCTGTCTCTCTCAAAATGTTAGGTTTATTATAAGTTTTGATTTTATTTTCTTGAATCCACTTAGCAGGCTTAACTAAATGCCTTATAAGGGAGCTTTGATTGCAAGTTGTCAGGACTGCCTGAAAGAAGTTTTGACCTCGGCCTATGATTTTCAGATTTACAGATATTTAAAATGCCTCTTGTTCAGTAGAATTGGTATTCCATAATGTTTTTCCATCTTTGTTTTGTGAGGTTGGTTGCTCAAGAATTAGCAAGTTATTCTATGTAATTGATTATTTCACCACAATTCACCTAAGTAATTGATACAAAAGTATAAGTAATTACTAATTATAAATTAATTAAAAAATATCTAACTATGAGTGTGTCAGATGCTTTTAAATTCATTACAAATTATTACGAGTTATTTGCGTAAGGAAAGCCTCAAAAGCTCCAAAAATCGTTAAAAACACTCATTGCTATTAGTTAATTAATTTTGTCAATAATGTATACTCGTTACAGAAGCAAACACATTAAATAAACAACATTTTTAATTTCCATTAGTGCGCTTTTAATAAATTAATGTGTTTAATATGTTTCATTGTCTTTTTAATAGATTTTTTTAAATTGCTTTCTTTTGCTAACACTATCGCTTTTACTTTGAGTAAGTCAGTATATCTTGTGCCATATTTTGAAGTAATTTCTAAATTCTTTAATATCTTTTAAGCAAAGACTTACTGCCTGAAAAAGACAATGTACCATCATTTTTAAATTCTCGGAAACAGACACTACTCAGTTACAGATGCCTTTTGAAAGCAGAACTATAATGAAACAATGAAATTATAGTTTACGTTATTTTAGTAATGACGAACATGAATTTAAATCTACACAATCTTCAATTTGAACCAACAGGCACAACAGAAATACGTCAGTATCTGTTACAATGCCTTTTTATTTTAGATTGACCCCCTGAGATTGCTGTTCATGAATAGATTGCTAATGGAGTCAAAACCAATCTGAAAATATATCTCTTCTTACTGCTGACGATATTTCTTTTTACTATGTTTAACATGGTACTACATATGACTGCAAGTTGAAGCCAACACAGTCCTAGTAAGGAAGGCTTATGAGTTCAGTGAAGTGATATTAGATGTAAGAATATGAGTTTTTCTAAGAAGAATGTTCCATTTTTCATGTTCAAATGCTACAAGATAGGAGAAAAATTGAAACAAATCCATGGACACGTGATCAGTTAATTGTTCTTGAATTCCATTGACACTTGATCGTACATATTTTTTAGGCATGTTCCTTTGCCACCATTATTATTGGATTGTGTCATTTGAACATGGCAAGGATAACTTCAAAGATGGCCCTTGTTCTGGTTGACCATCAAGAAACTGACTAAATTTACAAAATGAGTCTGTTGAACTGAAGAAAGTCATATAAATCACAAGATTTTATCATCAGTATGGATAGCATTGACACAATACTCCACCACAATTCAGGAAGAGTCCAAGGAAAATTAGTTCATTATTCCCTTACCCTTTAGTAAAAGAGAGAAACAAAGATGGTCACCATGTACACTATATTTCTTCAAATGATAAAAACAGTTGACAGAGATATGCTCAATGGATTAAAGTTGATTTTAATACTTCATGCCAAACAAAACCAAAACCATGTGGTTGGCTGAAATTCATTGCAGGGATGGATTCACCAAAATTCCACAAAATGGAAGTGACATTTTACAGTTTTCTTTCATAACGCCCCCACCTAATCATTCTATTAAAACAATTGAAAGAAAGGGGCCAAATTGTGTGGGGTGAATGTGGTTGACAATGTTTCTGCTCACACACGTGTGTGGAAAACATCCCGTCCTAAAGTCTTCACTTTGTATTATGTTTCTTCGAGTTGCTCCCGGGAGAGATGCTCAGAGCATCAACTGATGTCACTGCAGTGTCTCTCACCGGGAGGACCTAGGTTCGAGTCCCGATACACGGTGAGTGATTAATTTTGCATCGCTTAGCGGATAGAAATATTTTCTCGTAATGTGGAGGGCACGGGAGGGCGAAATTTGATTCGGATACTTACGAGATTGATCAAAATAAACTGAAGTGTGTATATGACCATTCTGACGGATATACTGAAACAATTTTTTGCGAGAAAATTGAAGTACCTACTATACATTCTTTTTTTGTTGGGACTGAACACGGCAGTTACTTTTTGAGGACAGAGGATGGGAAGATAGTACTAAATAGACAAGTTTTTCTCCGTCTTTCCATTATACATTTTCAAACTATTTGTAATGATTTCTGTAATAGTGGCTATTAAAATAATACACTTAGGACAATTCAGTCTGCTTTATTCTACATGTTCTCTTATTAAACGCTCACTGCATTGGCTTCCTTCCTTGCCGCCTACCCACTAGGCCCTCTGCTCTCCAGTGCATTCGTATTGCATTATGCATGCAAATTTCATACCCAATATCAAAACTTGTGTTTTCTCGGGAGAACCATATTCTGGTTGTGTTTACTTTGGAATTACTGCGAACTTCTTTCTACCCATTGTTCTAGGTATCCTGATGCATGCTCCTTTGACTTTGGCAATATTTTTTGGCCACTTAATCGGAAACTACAGTGAATGTCATTTGACAGCCCAGATGATATTTTTGTTGTTGTTGAGATGTTGCTGACTTATCACTTCTTTTCTATTTCGCAGATTTCGTGAAAGAGCTTCGTAGACCATCCTCGTCTAGTAGATAGAGGATTTTCGAAAGTTGCGATGCACAGAAGTCTTCATTGAGCCATGTAGAAAATTTACTTGAGGGTTTTTGTTTCTGTACGGTGAACAAAGCTTTGGGAGGTTGTATCAGAATGTCTTAATTTTTTTCTGTATTTCCTCATCAGTTGACTTCAAGTCGCAAGCGTGGTATGATGTAATTAAATAAATTTTTATTTTCTGTTGCTACGATATTCTGAATGCCAACCCCTCTACGCACGAACTCGAACAATTAATAACGACGGGCAAGAGTACAGTTCCTTCAGAAGAAAAACATATCTCAAAGTTGCGGATAGTGGCACGAAATCTTGTACCAGCGCAGAGAGGAGATGTGTTGTACTGAGTCAGTACAATTTTAAAAGCAATAAAATGTGAGCTTTATTTTGAGGAGCTACGTACTCAAAATTTGTATCATGCAAAATCCGTCTAAATTAAGCACATTGTTAAAATGAATATTATTATGGATACCAGCATTATAAACGACCTTTTCTGTTGCAAGCAATCGTTTGTAAAAGGGCATTTTGCGGCATCATTGCCTCATCACACATTCAGCCCGTCGCGATGAGGTAGCAGTAAACTGGACAGCCGACGCCCATTTCCTCGCGCAGATGCCGAATACCCGAAACGCCATAAGAAAGTTGTTTCGCGAAATTAAGTTTGATTCTCTTATAACTCTCGTGACTCTCTTATAAATATGCTGTTATTAAAAAATATAGCCTATGCAATGCAGAGCCCTCTTCGGGCAGTTTTGTGAACGCACGGAAAGTGCAATGTATGTTCACGCCTCTGCGGTGCGACCATTCCTACCCTTAAGGGCATCTAAGACCAATACAATACCAACATAAAGAAAAACAGAAGGTCAAAAATGACTTTAGCCTACTGTTGCGCGCATTGCGTGTGCAGAAATGCTACGTTTATATGTTTCAAGTCTCATTTCTCTGTTTCAAATTACTTAGCCTACGCAACTCGTTTATAATGTCGCTTTTATAGCATTCGTACAAATTTGAAAACTCGCCTTACCTAACGTCGCTCGTTTTCAAAACTTGTACTCATCCAATTAAGCTTAACACTAAACTAATTGCATAAATGATTATTGTCAGTATAATTTTCTGAAATACCTTCAAGAATGTGTTAACAGAGAGACACGTACCTGCATCAGTTTGTTCCATGCAGACGCATTCGTATTTCAGCTAGCAGATAACAGTAAAGACATTATGGAGATAGGGTGGTCTGAGGTGCACTGACTGCTGACTTTCGAACCTTGCTACATCGTGCCCATTGCTGTCGGTGTATTATCAAACACAATTTCTTATGCTCTTGTTTATGTACTTCGAAGTAATAGCCATTTTCCATTTTCAAGTAAGTTGATTTTCGCCCTTTGTCCAGCTAACAATGCGAACTTAATCAGGGTGACGGTGGAAGTGGCGAATGCAGTCGTTGACTGGAAGAGAATTCTAACGCCCAGCTGCTCTGATCGGTAGTTTTCCGTAGTTTATCCGATCAATACCAGGCGATTGCCGGAACAGATCCCTAACAAAAAGCCCATGGTCCGGCGCGATCCTTCCTTCCCCTTCCTCGTCCTCCCTCCTTACTTACACTTACATGCTTTACACTAACATGTCGGGAGCTTAAGAAATTGTGCGGGCTAGGGCGGTGCCCCGCTGGTGGCAGATACCTGGTTAGGAAAACCCCGCTAACCGCAAGTATGCTGGATCTCACCATCCAGCGGAGTAAGATCACATTTCCCGAGGAAAAACCATGCCCTAAACTTACGGGGCAAATGACCTTACATATAATCCAGCAGTGCTGAGTTTCCCAGCTGTCAGTATCAGTAACTTAATAATTCAGAGGTTGGAACCAAAACATGATGGATAGAATTCGTGGGATATTTTCAACAATTTAAAATTGATTAATTCAGATACATTAATATATAAAGTATATTGA